GAAGGAGAGGAAGAAGCAACAAAGAAAAATAAGAAGTCTATGCACTTATAATAAGTAAATAGACACTTAAGGGAGAAGCGCTGAGAGAAGTACCAGCCAGCTTTTAAAGAGAACAAAGCTGTTGTTAAAGTGAAAAACTTTGCGAGAAATGCCTCCAAATAGCCGTCAAATGAGTTGCCTAAAGCGAAAAACAATAAGAAAGTACTTGAATTATCCAGGCATCATCCAAACGCTTCTCGCTACAAGTGCTTCCATTATTAGGTACATCGTTATGAGGCACTTAACAAACGACTGCAAACAATCGAATCGAGCTGTAAACAGTCAAGCTATCAAGAAGAGAGAAGCAAAGATAGGTTAAGTTTGGAGGAAGAAACTTTGCTCTAAAGGGAGTTTCAACTTGTGTCATTTGACGCTTTGACTTGGTTGCTTTGTGAGCGCTAGTTACGCGCTGCTCGCTTCAAATTAACTTATCAAGTATTTCTGTTTGCGCTTCTCCCTCTTTAGCTAGACAGACAGGCTATATGAATGCACGCGTGCGCGTCTGGCTGTGCTTTGAGCAGCTGGTTGTCTGTGGGACGTGTCTTATGGGTGGGAAATAGTTTGAAGACAGACATAGAAACGCCGCAAAGCGTAATCTTTTGTGACGTCAGCGCAGCGGAAGCGTTCCCATTGAGTACGCAGCGTGCCGACTGTTTGTTGATTGCTGTCCCAGTGACACACTTGCCGCGCCGGTGACTAGGCTCGCCTCTGTCCCCGCTGCTGCTGGTGCTGGTGCTGTTTGTGGCAACGTCGCCGTAAGACAATTGCAACAAAGACAAGAGAAGCCGCCGTCGCCACAGTTGCCATTTAAATGCAAAACAGCTTGGCCAGTCAGCGTTTTGGGGCAGGGTGCCAAAGTCAAAGGACTGCACGCGGCTGTCGCAAGAGAGGGTTAAGAAGTTGCGAGGGAAAGAGAAAGCAAGAGAGGGAGAGAGTGAGAGAGAAAGAAAGAGTGAACGCGAAGCTCAGAGAGGGCGTCCAACGAGCGTTTCGTGAGCCGCAAACCTGCGCAGTGTTCAGAAATTGCTCAATTTCGTGGTGAGTTTCAGTCGGGCCAAAGCTGGGCGCCTTAAGAGAAACAGTTAATGTGTTAAGAGAATTGGCTAACAGGCAGACAGGCTAACAGGGAGGCTGACAGGCAGGCCGACAGGCAGAACGCACTGTTATAGCTCGCGCGTAGGCAGATTTCCGCTTTATTTGCTAATTAAACAAACACTTTGGCAACAAATTCGCCAACTTGAAGTAAACTGCGGGCAAGTAGTCTGAGTGCCTGATTGAGAGGTGGGGGGGAGGTTACGGGGGGGGGGGGTGTCTTGTATAAAAGGGGTGGCACTTGCCGAGGGGGTTAGCTTTAATCTGTCGAATTCTTAAGCAACACATTTTCTTTTTTGCTTGCCTGACGCTTAATTGCCTGACGAATTGAGCCATTACTGGCATAGATTAGCTTGGGTGTGCGAGAGAGAGCGTGATATATATATATATATATATATATATATATGTATATATATAGAGAGTCAGAGAGAGAGAGAGAGAGAAAGATGGCGAATGGGCGACTCGGAGTAAGAAGCCGGCACACCTCTTAGTCCCATATCATTATGACAATTTCCACTTTAAGCTTGATTGTCGAATTTAAACTTTAAAATGTAAGTTTAGATCTGTGAAATACAAGTTTCTGCAGCAACCTGCCAGAAATTCAGGCTTTGCTGGGAGAGACTGGTCCAAAGCCATTTAATCTTTGGCCAGAGTTTGTAAATCTCGGAAAATTGTATTATAAGATTAATTAAGCCTTGCGTTCGTTTGGATTCAACTTGAATGAAGTTTGCCTCGGAGAAAGTGCTACGATATCATTGCGGTTGAAACCAATCGCATCGCTTTAAAGAGAAAATAGGTAAGACTTCAAGGCTCATCATTGTGGGTATAATAATAGTATTATCATTGCTATTAAGAATAGTATTATTCCGAAGCAAAGATTGGCATGATGGAAAAGGTTTTAATTTTGTAATATCTGGATATGGACTAGCTTCGTCATAGCTTTGATCGATAACAAGTCAATTATAAGTTATAACTTATATACAATAATAGAATAACACAAATACAATAGTTATTTTTGTCTGATCCATTGGAAACTGTTCTTGCTGACATTTATCAACTATTGCTAACTTTGCTTATTCCAATCAAAAATGATCGATTGTGTTTATCGATAGGCATTGCTTACTGATTAACAGCTGACACCAAGAACATGTTCATGCTTTCATTATATTTATTGCATACGATAGGATAATGGCAATTTTATCTATGCTACACATAAATCATCGAGAGCTGCAATCGATAACACGTTCGTAAGCAATCGATTATGTTATTGATCAGCTTTTGAATCTGGCAACTGTTGCTATCGATTATGTTTTTGCAGCGGTAACATTTCAAAAAAATGTGCTTACAGCTTGCCCCCTGTGTCTTTTTGTTAAACAGCCACAGTTCGTCCGTAGAAGCAATCGATAAGTAAGCAATCGATTTGACCATGCCACACTTTGCAGTTGTTGAGTAATTGCGCCAGCTGACAACTGCATCAAAGCAGCCACACACAAATTGTTGCCACATAGTGGCAAACATGTTGTTTGTTCTCTTTCGCCCAAACGCCGGTTAGTTGTTGTTGTTGCAAAAGCGATTTGCTGTTGCTGTTGCTGCTGTTCGGACAGTTTGTCGAGTCGCTATTGGCAAACTGTTTGTTTATTTAAAGCAATTGAAAATTAATTAATTTACTTACGCAACCGAAACTGGCACAAAACAAATAAATGCGCAGCACACAGTGAGTCAAAGCTGTTGTTGTTGCTATTGTTGGCGCTGTTGTTGTTGTTGTTGTCTGGCTGAATGCTGTATGCTTGTTGTTGTTATTGTTGTTGCTGTCAGCTAGACACACACACACACACACACACAGAGACTGCTGGCAATGACAATGACAACGAGGCGTTCAACTTGAAGTTTTGCAGCAATAAACAAACAAACAATCAAACAAACAACTGTCTGCAAGGGTCGGGCTCAGCAGTTGGGCGTGGCGCTGGGCTAGACTTTTCAACATTGCCGCTTGTCTTTAAATTATAATAAAGCGCAAATGCAGCAGCAACAACAGTTTCAAATGCAACAGCAGCAGCAGCAGCAGCAGCTGCCGCATTAACTGAACATGAAGTTGGAAAATGATGCGTCAACTGAAAAGTTGCAAGCAGCTGTTGTTGTTGTGTTGTTGTTGTTGCTGCTGCTAGCAAAGTTGCTTATGGCTGTTGTTGCATGCAATTGTTGTTGTTGTTGTTGTTGCTATTGTTGCAGCTGGCAGCAGACAGCAGGTATTGTTGCTTAGCTCTCTCTCTCTCTCTCTCTCTTTCTTACTGCCTGCAACTGACGTGACGTCAAATCGAATGAAAACATTATAAAGTGTGAGCGCCGTGGCAAAGTCTTAACTATACTTATATATAACTATATAAATATATATATATAAATATGTATATATATATATATATATATATTTATATATACTTATATGTATACACAGGCACATTGCACTTGGGCACTGACCAAAACACACAAATGGAATTTGTTAGCAGCACGCTGTGTATTTGTGTTTTTCTCAAACTCTTCCTCCTCCTCCTCCTCCTCCACTCTCTCTCTCTCCCTCTCCCTCTCTCTCTCGCTATTCGTCTGTCTCTTTCTACACTCCTCTCTCCCTTCAGCAAACTCTCTCGGCCTTTGTGTGTGTGCAATCATAAATTTTTGCATTATGAAATTAAAATTAAGAAAGCAAATGCCAAAAAAAGGCGATTGCAAACTTTTGAATTCAGTTGGCCGTTGGCCAACAATTGACAACAAATTTTACGCCCACAACAGCAACAAGAACAGCAACAGCACCAACAACAACAACAACAACAATAGCAACACCAAGTTGCTGCTGCATTTGCATATTTCAAGTAGTAAATTAGATTTTTGCTTTCATCTTCGAAAGTTGCGCCCAAATGTAGGCAACGCATTTTTCGTTGACTGTTTTCTTGTGTGGTTGTGTGTGTGTGTGTGTATGTGTGTGTGAGGGGGCGTGAGGTTTGTTCTGTGCCGTTTCGCAGCTTAGTGGGAAATTCAATTATCGAGCTCGAATTTATTTCAGGCAGTATGCTAAATTTGTGCCCAAGTTTTATTCAAGCATATTTAAGAATCATCTAAAATAATTGAAGCCTGTGCACTATTAAAATACAGTTCTTGACAAAAACGGATATTGCCAAGCCACCAAGCCGCAGACTGAATACACTTCTTAGCTGAAGTTTAACGGTTAGGCATAGTTTTAGAGGCATGTTTTGAGAATAGTTAAGCCAAGAGAGAGAAGAGTAAGCAAATAATTGTAAACAGCAATTTTAAATAGCAATGGACACAGAGCGGCTTAATTGTTTGAAGAATTCTTTACATATAGTTATATGTTAAGGTAATTAAAAAATTCGTTCATATCTGAGGAGCATAGTTAAGCAAATGTATATTTATATAAGCTAAGTTATATGGTATGGTAATAAGGCCGACTTTGATCAGCGATATATAAAAAACTTATAGGAGACAAGACGAATCCTCTTCTGCGTTACATATCTTCAGAAAATTAGAATGTCCTTTAGATGTCTACTTAAATATTGCATATACCAAAAAAATGTTGAGCACTTCTTCTAGTGTTTAATCGATATATAATTAGACTGTATGCATGCATGCATGTATGTATGTATGTATGCATGCATGAATGCATGTAAGTTGCATGTATACATTTGCATGTATGTATATACATATGTGTGTAAGTATGCTTGTATGCATATATAATATATATGCACGTGTGCGTGTATGTGCATATGTTCCAATGAAATAATATATGTTCGTCGGTATGTATGCGTCTATGTAAGCATTTATGTATGTTCATGTACTTATGCATTTGTGTTTGCTTTCAGATATGTATACGAATGGATACATATATTTTGTATGCCTATGTGCAAGTTCACCAACACCTCTAGCTGCACTGAAAATTAAAAACAAATGTATTCCTAACTAATGCCCTACTACGCGATTCTCATGAATTCAAGTCGGACTCATGGGCCACACGGCAACTGTAGACGGCGATGGCTTTAAAGTTGGAGTAACGACAACTTAAAGAAAGTAGAAGGCAGCTGATTTAATATTGGAAGAGACGGCAGCTTGTTTAAAGGAGGAGGAGGCGGCTTGTACTATGGTGGAGGCAGTACCCATTGCCTTGGCGGATGACGTTGAAAAAAAAAATGGTACGTATTATAAAAATTACTGTGTCTTATTATATATAATATATATATGCATATATATATTTTAATATGTGTATGTGTGGAGCTGAGCTGAAAATAAACAAGAAACGTATTTGTAAATATTGATCTTTTAGGCAATTCTCACTTATTAAACGCAAGACGTCTACGTTTTTCAGTTAATAAACATATCTCTGCATTTCTGTTCTTTCAGTGATGTGTTTATAAAAATATTCGTCTCCCGCCTACTAAATATGAAGATAAAAGTATCGATGATGATAAATACCTTTGAATTAACAGGTGAGTACATCATTACAAATATATATATATATCTGTTTTGCAACTGTTTGTCACCCTTTGAGAATCCCTCCTTCCTTCTTGGAAATGGGGGTCAAAGATTTGGTGGTTGATGTTTCTGGCTCAAGTATATTACTGAGAATCTTTATTAAAATTCATTATAATCAAAAAATGTTTATAGTAGGTTTCATCAAATGATTGATGTAAAACATGGTATAGCACAGAAATCTTGACTTTGGTTTGAATGCATTTGAGTTTTTATCCAAAAACATTCGCCTGCAGCTTAAATGTAAATGCCTGCGGCAGATAACGTATACGCAGCGGTGGCCACGACAAGGGCGCAGCCAAACTGCAGCCTGGCAAGCTGTTTGGCCAGCGGGCGGGCGGGTGGTTGGTCAGTCAGTTAGAGGCAAAAAGCAGTGTCTACAACAGCAACGACAACAACTTCATCAATAGCTGGCAAATGTTGCTGCAACTTTGTTGCTGACGTGTGTGGGCTATTGGCAACAACAGCAGCAACAACAAAGAGTCGCAGCGAAACAATAGATAATGATGACACGTCAGCTTTTGTCGTGTGACAATAAGCACGGCAATAGCAGCACAACAATAACAACAACAACAAAAACAGTCGCAACACGCGAAGCTACTCGATGTCAGTTGCCAGCAGCAAAGGCGCGCAAAGTAACAACTTGAATGGAGCCGATGAAGCGAAGCTCCCTCTCTCCTTCTCCCCCCACATCTCTTCCCACTTTCACCCTCTCTCTCTCTCTCCCTCTCTCTCTCTCTTACGCTCCTTTCATATGTGTGCGTGTGAGTGTGTCTAACATGCTGTGACAACAACAGCACGAATAACAACAACAAACGTAGCGTCTTTGTTAGCTGACAGCAGCAGCCGGCAGCAGGCATCAGGCAGCAGGCAGCAGGCAGCAACGATTGCTGGTGGCAGTGGCTTAGGCGGGGGTACGGTGGCACTGCTGGTGCTGCCTGCGAGGGGGGGGGGCGGTCTGGGAATGGGCATAGGGGTAAATTCTGGCTGTCTGCATGGAAAGCAGCGCACGGCGTTTTGTCACACGGCGCCAACTGCTACGGAAGTCAATGTAAAGTAACGGAAAAGCAGCCGCAAATACTCAAGCATACACACAAACACACACTAACACACACATATGCTGCATACACAAGAAACACATGCATACATGTACGTGCACACAATAGCTGTAGCAGGCGACAAATGTTTCAATAACAAGGTCGAAAATCCATATTAAAAAAAAAAGTGAATTTTTCATGTGCACAAATAAAAAATTCAATTAAATTGAATGTAATCTAAAAAGAAGCAACATTTATATAAGAATGAAAAAATCTGGGAGTTAACATGAACATTTACCATGTACCTGTTTAATGTTGCGCTCGTTAAAGTGTTAACATTAACCATGTACCTGTTAAATGTTGCACTTGTTGAAGATTTATCAAGAACATTTACCATGTAACTGGTGAATGTTATGCTCACTGCAAAGTTAACATTAACATTTACCATGAGCCTACATCATGTCATTTAATGATATTTATTAATGCTTATTTATTTATGTGTGGATATTAACTTAATTTTATTGTGTGTCGCCTGGTATATTCGCAAAAAAAAGAATGAAACTTGTTGTTATGTTTCGACGAGTCATGAGACACGAGTTTTGTTGCTGTTGGCTTTCGGCAGATGCTGATGCCTGCTGCTATTCACAATTCACCATTCACCATTTACTATTCACTCAGTATTCATTTCTTTTCATTTGCTGCCCTTTGCTGTTGTTGTCTTTTTAATTTAGTTTGCCTTTCAGCTTTCAGCTTGAAATGAGCTGAAACTGAAGATGAGTCGAGTCGAGTTGAGAGCTGGCCTCGTCCTCGACTGTCGACAGTTGGCCGTACGTGACCCACTGTGTTCTGGGTTCCAGTTCCGAGTTCTTTAGTTCCACACGCTCAAGTTCTCAGTTGCTCAAGTTTCGCTCTGACATTTGACGTTCCGCATTTTGTTTTTTTTTGTATTTTCTGTTTTTTTTTTTTTTTTTTTTGCTTTCCATGGTGCGTGCCTCAATTGTCTCTGGCGTTGCCAAGTTTTGGTGCGTGTGCAAAGAAAACTATGGAAAAGCGCAGTAGCTACACACACACACTCGCACACACACTGACACACACACTCGCACACACACTGACACACATACCCATACGTATGAACAAAGCGAAGTCAATTTAATTTATTTTGTCACTTTTGTTGTTTATCATTTTCTTGTTGTTGCTGTTGTCATCAGCATCTGTGCGTGTGTGTGTGTGTGTGTGTGTGTGTGAGTGTGCCATGGACTTATTACACACTTTTATACAGCTGCATATCGCCCCTTTGCGCCCTCAACCCCACTCCGCCCCCTACCCATGCTCTTGTTGTTGTCCTTTGTATTCCATTTGCTGACGCATTTAAATTTCTATTTGCACTGCCAGCGTTGGCTTCGATGCCAATTGCTGCTCATGCGGCTGAGTTCCCAACGTAATTGAGTCGACCTCGACACAAACACACACACACACACACACACACAGTAAACACACTAAACACACTACACACTACACACTACACACTATACACACAGTCAGTTATAGGCCGACAGCCTTTGTTGCCAGTTTGGACATAACCTCAACTGGAGCGCAGGTGCTGCTCGCCGCTGACTGCATTCTTTTGAATCGGCATCGAAGCATATGGCCAACGGACTTAAATAATTTTCCATATTAGTCAAGGCAAACGGTTGCAATGGACGTTAGCCAAGCATATCGTATATGAACAAAGGCTCATAGTTTCCAGATTTTAAATTTCAAATTTAATTTGAAATTTGATTCTCTTCATTCTCATTGGGCGGTCGCAAAGAGGCTTAGAAATGGAGTTAAAATGTTTTTAGCTTCGAAATCGGTTAAAAAATCGTCAGCATGCGTTCTGCTTTATTTTCTCAATTTGAGAAGAGTTCCTGAAATGTGCGATTTAGCTGATGTCTTGAATAGGATACACAAGTCTGCTTAAACATTTTTTGCGTTATATTTTCTTTTGTTTTTATAAATGACCTCTAGATTAATTTGACATCTACATTCAAATGGAGCCTATCTCTATCTCTAAAATATTCGGCAATATAGATGAATAAAGATTCCATTAATGATAATAAATTATCTGGCACGAGTATACATGAGTATAAATACATTACAAATTAACTAGAAAGGGAAAAAATTAATGCCATAAAGAGAAAGTTAAAGTTCTAAAGTAATTGAAAAGTTAAACTGAAGCACGGAAATAGTTTAAATATGATTTAAAATTGGCCTTCATATAAGTTATAAAGGGTCAAATTTAATTCAACATTCATTGCAAAGTAGTTAATAATAAAGTTGAAAACGTTTGCTAAAGTGGCTCAAAGTTGGTTGTCCAGTGGTTGAGGAAAGAGTTTTGACTCACCGATTTGGGAACAGTTCTGCCATTTAAGCTAATTTCTAGCTAAATTTTTCTAGATTCTGGTGTTGTCAGCGGGAAACTGTTGAAGCCTATTTTTAAACGAATTTGGCTAGATTTCAAATTTAGTTAAGATATTTTTGGCTATGCAAATGTGTGTAAAAGATAGAAGAAGGCCCATCATACCCCAGAAATTATTTATATATTCTTGATCAGCATCAATAGCCGAGATGATCTAGTAATGTCCAGCCGTCGGACCGTCCCTTTGTCCGTATGTATGGACAGAAGAATCTCAGAACCTATAAAAAGTAGAGACCTGAAATTTGACCGTAGATCCTCCTGCTCTTGCATATTCAGCGATTTTTCTGATGCGGCAGTAGGCAACACAGTTCAAAAAACCCTGCAAACGCGTGATCGTAAAAAGAGTGTCTCATATATATATATATATATATGTATATATATATACAATTTAGCACAATTCTCTGCAGTTGCAGGTGTTTAAGATTTCATTTCGCTTTAATAAGCTCGAAAGCAGCTGCTGTTGGCCCTTTAAAAAAGTTGTCGCCCTTTTAAAGAGCTACTGTCCATAATTCCGTTCATCATGTCCTTGGCCAACATAAAAAGCCCCAAATGAATGAGCGAAATTAAGCGAATGGCGAGCGTTTGGGTTGTGGGCGCTGGGGGAGGGGTTGACGTTTTGTGGGGCGTGGCCAGTTGACACAGTGGTTGGCCATTGGCGCAACCCGAGCGCTGCATTAATGCAAAGTTTAAGTGTTGCAAATGACGTTGATAATGGCCAGAACGATGACGAGCAGGGCAAAGGGTCTCACTGAAAGTGGGTCGGGCGGGGGGAAGGGGCTGGGAATAGCTCGTAGCTAGCAGCTGGTAAGTTGGTGCTGCTGCTGCTGCTGTTGCTGCTGCGAGTCCTTGTTGTCCTTGTTGCTGTGCGCTTAATATGTAATTTATAATTTTGATTGCACTGCCAGTGCTGCCGTCGCTGCTGGCGTCGCAGTCGCTGCACTTAAGCCGAGCAGATAAATGTATACGCTTATTAATAATATGCGGTCACTGGACTGCAGTCCAGCCAGGCGCACCTACCGCCGCAGGCTTTCGCCTGTCAAGTGTTTGCATTAGCGCGACACTGGGCGTGGCAGCTGTTGGGTCTAAAGGGGGCGTGAGAAATTAATGATGCATAATTTATGAAAATTCTACAATTGCCGGCGCACACACCATCCAGCACTGGCTGCAGCAAACATATCCTAGACAGGGTACAAAAGGTCTCCAAACACACGCACAACCCGCACCACCCTCCTTCACCCTTGACTGGCTGCTACCCTGCTGCGTCCACGCCCCCGCATTGCCAGCTGCTGCTGCTGCTCCCGCTGCTGCTGTCGGCAAATAGGCAAATGCCTTTCAGCTGCCTTTGCTTACTTAGCCGAAACTTTATATGAAGAAAGTTTGGCGCAACCGTCGACAATGTGCTGCGGTGGCTTGAGCAGGGGGCTGCGGGTCGGAGGGGAAGCGGGAAGGTTAGGCTAAATGC